AACCTCATGATTTACTCCCTTTTTACAATATACAAGCCACCAATTTGTTACATTCAACTATGAACAACCCAACACAAGTAAATGTAAAATATATATATATATATTAGGCCCAAATCAATCTCAATTTAATTACCAAATCATTAATCGAATTCCTTAATTCATAACATGAAAATTTCACAGTTTCAACTATTTTTATCTATTAGGCATTATATCAAAATTTGGGCTTTGTTTCTCTCTACACGTAACCATGTTAACCACTCTCCAATTTAACCCAAATAACAACCATGTTCACAAAATTTCAATCTCAACTACCAAATCTTAAATCCTCTATCATGATTTTCGAAAAATCCATAACAACATGGTTTTTATGCAATAAAAGCATACCACATGTCTATCTATAAAAGAGGTATTGAAAAAAATCAAAGAAATCCCTACCTTAAAGAGAGAAGAGGAGAAAAGCCCAAAAATCAACTTCGTCGGAATTTGATCTCCACCGGTCAAGATGAAGCCCTTAATATGCTCATCATTTTGGTATAAGGGACTAGCACCAAAATCTCAATGGATTCTTGAGATCAAAGGAAAAAAATACAAAGTTTGAGGGTTTGGATAGAGAGAGATGAGAGAAAAAGAGAAAAACATTGTAGAGAGAGAGGGATATATCAAAAATGAAGTGAAAAAGGAGCAAGAACTCAATACGTAGCTAAAATGCATGAAAAACGAGACATAAAACGCGTCTGGCCGCACGTGCGGCGCCCTCTCCCGCACGTACGGAGCGACCTCCCCGCACCTGCGGCTCTCACCCCCACACCTCCACTTCCGTATCTGCCTTTTATGCAGTGTGCACACAGCCTCCCCTCCCCTACTTCCCGCACGTGCGGCCTGATCTCCCTCACGTGCGGCCCCTCCCGCACGTGCGGCCCTGGCCCTCCAACCTGAAAAAAACTTCAGCTTTTCACCTAACACTCCAAAGTCGACCTCGTACCCTCCAAAACGAGTGTAAACTTGAAATTGAAACAAACACATCCGAACATTTGAGAAGAAACTCTTAAGAACAACGAATCCAACTGTTGGTCGAACCACGCTTTGAAACCTGACATTTTAACAAAGGCAAATCCAACATAACTCAAGAGAATAAGGCAAATTACAAACCGGTCATCACAATCAATGTAGAATAATAAAATTGGCATGCCACGTTAGCTTGGGTTTATAAATGATTTTTTCACTTTTTTTATTGCACTGGAAAAAAAAAAGGTTAAATTGTCACTGGTTCAACTGCAATCGAAGTGTATCATAATAATTATCTCATAAAAATATTTTAGAAGTAAATAAAAACGATTTATGCATTTATTATGAATACTTATTTTAGTTTAATGATTTAGAATTTTATATGCATTGTTTCTGTAAAATGAAATTGCATTGATTTTTATAAGGTGAGTGTTGGTAAGTAGGGCCACATTATACCCTTGCTAGATCCAGAATAAAAAATAAAATAAATAAATAAAAATTGGGATGGATTTCATGGTTTTGAGTCTTCTGAAATTATTTTAGGATCTGAAGGGATTAGACTAACCCAATGGGCTTTGGAGACCCATTAAGGGCCACTTGCCTTTTAAACCCCAAAAGAGAGATGTTTTCATATAGAGAAAGTCAATAGACCCAAAAATAGAGAGTAGAAATTGAACCAAAAAATTGGTGTGTGTGGCTGCTCTTTTCTTATATATTAGAGTTCACATTTGAATTTAGGGCAAATTTCACTTTACTCCCTTTTGGTTTGGGCCGAGTGCAGATTATCCCCTGACATTCAAAAATCACCACATAACCCCCATGTGGTTTGTGGATTAAAACGCGCAGTTAGCTTTTCCATCCAAATTAACGGGTTGTGAGGTTCACACGCCCATGAAGAGAGTAAGCTATGTTTTATGACCAAAATACCCCCTACACATCTTTAAATTTACAAAAGCTTGCCATTCTTCCTCCTCCTCCTCTCTCACAGAACGAACAAGGTTGTTTCTCCAACCCTCCCTTTTTTCATGATTAGAACTAACCTTTATAGCAAAGAAAATGGTGATATCAAGCTGCTAAAGATGCTTTTTGATTCAAGATACTCCATCTCCATTAATGGGCTCCAACTCTAGATTAGGAGTGTTCATGATCTTCGGCCAATCCAATCTAGGTCTCTACTATGGAAAGAGATCATTTTTGTTGTAAACAAATCCACAAATTCAAACCCATTTTTCTGATCATATACAAACCCAATTCACATATACAAATCCAAACCCATTTTGGTTGCTTATGTTTGTCTCAATTGGATGATTCATTTCAGTTTCTTTACCCAAATTTGTAGCAAAAGTTCTTAAGCGAGAGAGAGACAAGCAATGAGTAAGCACCTATTTGTTTGATTGCTTTTCGAAAACATTTTGGCAGAGTAAACCAGAAATTTGTATGTTGCTGTTTTGGTAGTTAATTGTTTATCTTTTTAATTGACAGTGTTCTAAATGGAGTTTGAATTCTTCAAAAAAAAGTCAATTTTGTGATTTTAGCTACTGAAGATAAGTTCCAATTTTTTTTTTAATAAACAAAAAAAATTACCAAACAACATCTATGCATGACAATAAACATAACACAGCACAACCAAGTCCTCTTTTTGATTTTTTGAAACTTCAATTTTCCTCGTAAAATAAAACCCTTTTTCCAATGGCACTTCTCTTCATTAACATGATCAAACTCAGAGACGTACATAAGTTAAGTAACGAAACATAAGGTTGAAAACGAGTGTTTTCCCTAGTTCTATGGCATCATTTTTTAACATAATAAAAATTTCTCTTCTTCTTCTTTTCTGTCAAGTTTAAAAGAGAGAAGAAGAAGACAGGGGTATAAAGGTAAATTTACATGTTCTTTTAATAGAAGTTAGTGTGCGTTTTAGTCCACAAATCACGTGGGGGTTATGTGGTGATTTCCGAATGTTATGTGGGTAATCCACACTCGGCCCAAACCACAAAGGGGTAAGGTGAAGTTTGCCCTTAATTTCTGGGAGATGTTATAACATGTACTCTTAAAAAGGTATATATAGTATATTTTTTATAATTTGTTCATAAAATTTTATAATTTAAAGAACAAAATGTCATAACTTTTTCACTATAAAATTCATAACTTTTTTTTACTGAAAAATATCATAATAAAATTTCAAACTATCATAACAAAAATCATAAAATATCATAACATTATCATCCTAACTTTAGGATGCACATCATATATTCGCTATTTATAATTTTACTACAAAATATCATAATACACATCACAAATAACCATAACTTTCATCATAAAAAATCATAATTTTTTTTTTCAATATGCAACATTTAAAAGGATACACATTGTAAATTTCTCCTATTTGGAATCAATTTTAAAGTCAATACCTTTTAATGATTTTTTATTCACTTCTTAAATTGACATTCATTATCTTTTTCTTTCTTTTTTTTTATACTTTTTTAAGATAAGCTTTTGACTTTTTTTATCAAAAAAATTAAGCTAAAAAAATAGTAAAAAACCAAAAAGATGATTAATAAAACTAGCATTGAAAGTTTCAAATTTTTATTTTTTTGGCCCCTGTAGTGGTTGAAACATGGTTAACCTGGTGATAGTCTCTGTTAAAAGTAAAAAAAATTAAAAACTGGTGATATCTTAATCCATTCAATTTATAGGTTACCTCCTCCACAGTTTGAACTGTAAAGTTGCATCTATCTAATTCTATACTCGCATAGGAGCATTTAATCCTATACTCAACATGATAGTTAGCTCTAATATCAAATGATACAAACCACTTAGGTATAATTAGTTATTTTACTCACTATTTGACACCAAGTTAAAAACATAAATTTCTAAAATTAAAATTATCATCTAATTAAATTGTTTTAAACAAATACGATGATCATGAATAATGACAAACCCATATGACACAACTTCAAAAGATTAATACACTAAATTTTATAACTTTGATTTAAAATATTTATATAAATGTATTTTATGATCATTCAACATAATTTTATTAAAAGAATTGTTAAAAATACTCGGTTTGGTTTTGGATTTTTAAAAATAATATATTTTAATCAATTTATTTTTTTACTTTTCAGATCTACTTAATCCAAAAACATTTAAAGAGTATAAAAATTGTACATTTTGTTTTTCAAAAAATTCACTAACTGCAAGATTTTAGTAAAATTTTGTATTTATTGAATTTTTTTATAAATTTTTTAAAAATAATTTACTTTTTAATTATATGTAAATTAGTGGATCTAAAAAGTAAAAAAATGACTAATTTTTTTAAAAAGTTCATTAAAAATAAAAAATATATAAATTCAATTTAAAAAACCCTTCTTGAAAATTTAAAATCAAACATTGTGTATAATTTTTTTCCAAGTCAATTTTTTATTATTTAAATAATTTTGTTAGCATATCGTTATAGAACATATTAAGAAATTTAATAATTTATAATTTTAAAAATATTTTAACATTGTTTGGAGAAGCCAATTAACAAGAAAAATTATTCAATATATTAGGATCATCACGTATTTATACTCTTTCACTCATTATCACTGATTATATTTTTTTATATTTTTTAATCACTTAATACAAAATCATGAATCTTGCTTTCTCCATTGATTATAGTTGTCGTTTAGTTATGACTTTTCTAATCTGCTTTTTTGAATTAAAACTTTTTAACTTGAGATTAAAAATTCATTTAAATTAATTTTTTAAAAATAATTATAATTTAAATATAATATTTTATTTTATTAATTTATTTAATCTATTTTATTTTTTCATACGTTTTTTAATCCCAATTTCTTTTACCAAACGAAGCCACAGCACTATCCATTGACGAAGTATTTATTTAAATAGAAAAACACTCAGTATCGGCGCAACCAAGCAAATGCGAAGAAATGGGTGACGTGAGATGGTAATTTGAAGTAAATGCAAAAGCAACTTGCATAAATACAAGTGTACGTAACTTCTTCTTCCTCTGCTTCCTTTTATCGAAACGTGTCTCCGTCACTTTCTCTCTCTCCAAAGCTTCTCTCTCTCTATCTCTCTCTCTATCTCTCTCTACACATCTGTCTTCTCCGGCGAAGATCCGTCAGACTCCGGCCGTTACTCGCCGGAAGATCCAATTGACCTTCCTCGATCAGAATCACAGTCATCATGAATCCAGAGTAGTAAGTTTCGATACTTTTTTTTTTTTTTTTTTTTTTTTTTTTTTTTTTTTTTTTTGAAATTTGTTCGAGTTCGATTGGAATTTGAGTTAACGTGCCCGGAATAGGAAAAATTTATGTTTCTGGTTTCTAATTATGTGATCATTTTTGACTAATTTGAGGCTTATTATGGGTTATGATTGTTGATTTCGCTTGTAAACCCTAGATTTGGACATTCTGAACCTAGATCCATAATTAGGGTTTGGATTTGGTCTTTTTGTTCAACTCGAATTCAATTGGGATGATTTCTACCAAAATAGTTAATGCTTGCATGGTTGCAAGGTATGGATGGCTTGCTGAACGAGAAATATTGGTTGGTTTTGAATACTGATTTTCAGTTATTTACGGGATGTGGCATGTTTATTCATTTAGTTAGCAATTCTATGGGCATTTTTGGAAATCTAATTGTGTGACAAAGCTTCAAAAAACTTTTATGAGTTGTGTATATAGAAGAATAGATGATATGAATATATTAATGTGCATATTGATAGTATCAATGTTGCTATAGGTCTAATAACACACAGGAAGTTAAGGGCAAAAAGTCCATTTGATACATGATGTTACCTACAGAAATATCCATGATCATAATGCAGATGTTTCATTTTTACTTGCATTGAGAATGACTGTAATCTCTTTTAAATATTTTTAGGTTCACCACCACTATTGTTGGTGAGGTGCAATGAAAGTGTCTAATAAGATTGTGCGTTCCATGATTAGTGGGTAGTCCATCCACCATTTAATATCCAACACTGCTCAAGGATAAGACGTAATGAGTGTGATTCATCTCTTTGTTGAACATGGAATGGGGATGTTTAACTTATATTGGTAGGTGTGCACATCATGTGTTGCTCTTGAGGGTTGAGAAAATATTTCTAAAAGGTGTGGGAGGGGATTTGGGAGGACATGCAGATGTGATGTGTGCTTTTTCAGTTGGCTGCTATAGTCTGGATGCATGCATTACCATGGCTTATTAGAATCATAGCCCCACCGTACTCTGTTGACAAATTACATCGGGAGACTTGGAATACACCAAAGGAATGTGTTAGCGTTAGCCTATGGGTTGTGCCAAATTCAAAACCTTGCTATATTTTTGTACTTATAAAAGAAAATCATATTTATATTGCAACGATCACAAACTAGAAAAGGTTGTGTCCATGATAATAGATGTTATAACTGTTTTTACTGCCATGAGTGAAAAATTATTCAGCTCCTTAACATCTAGTCATTTGTCATAATTATAATTCACTTTACAAAGCATGTTAGTGGAGACAAATAATTCTTAACCTGTGTAACTAGAAGGCCTCGGTCCTTGGGTTTAATTGACTGTTTGTTTGTTTTTTTTTTTACAAAGTAGGAAAGGAAAGTTAGGGAGGGTTTGTGGGACTGAGTAATATGTCTTATCCTTTGCTACATAACTAATGCCAATAAAATGAACTTTCTCTTTACTCTTCTTTGCAGTGATTATCTGTTCAAGCTCTTGCTTATTGGAGATTCGGGTGTTGGCAAATCATGTCTCCTTCTAAGATTTGCTGTAAGTTCTTAGGATCTTACTTTTGTTAATGGAGTTTTTTTTTTAAAGCTTATTTTTTGTGTACATAATTGTCTCTATTTATTTATTTTAAAGTGGTACAAATTTATTTGCTTTCGATAAAGCATCTTCAGAACTACTGTTCTACTGTGCATTTTGACTGTGTAGTGTTTTTTTTTATATATATATAAAGAAATTTCACAAAATTGAAGCTGACTCAGGCTGCTGCTAAAACATCAAGTAGTGATGCTTTAGGGTACTGTTGGGTGCTTAATCATAGCCATTGAGTTTGCCCAGTGCTAGCTTGTGTTCATGCAAGAGATTGATGCATTTGAGAGAGGTGGACATGCAATGTGAATAACATTAACATCTATATTTTGAAAGTAAAACTGGTCGCAGGATCTGGTATTTCTTTCAATTGTCAGTTTAAGGTGTAAATATGTATTTTATTAACTTGTATTTTCCCATCAAATGGGGACTAAAATAGGTGACTTTTTTTTTTTAATTTCCTTTGCATTCTTGCTTATGAGAAGAAACATCCAATATTATAAATGAAAACCAGAAAGATGGAGGTCTTCATTGGGGAAGATCTAAATAAAAGGGCCGTATTGCATCCATAGATTGATTTATATAGGATAGCCCTAGAATTACATGTTTAGGGGTTGTTTGAGATGATCTAAGTAGGTGCACTTTTTGACTTTTTATAAAATATGGGTTGGGTTTGAAGTGATGTGATAGAGAGGTGATGTGATTTAAATAAGATGATGTGACTTAAATAAGATAGTGACTTTTTGTCTTTTTGACTTTTTTGTGTTATGCCAAACTTAGCCTTAATTTTGAATAAATTATAACTTTAATTTGTAAGTAGAAATGCTTCTTAATAGATTGTATTTTGTTCATTGTTTATGGAGTTACTTTCACATCTAGATGTAACTTACAGTCCAGTGGTGTGATCCCTTCAGTGCCTGGTGTACCCCTGTTCTTGATCCTATTCCATATCTTGAAATAATCCACATTTCTATTATGGCAACTCTGTTCTTCAAGTTTTCTGAAATCATTTTTTTTTTTATCAGTGTGTTTGGTTTGAGTTTTCTGAATTAAGTTTTTTGAAAACTGAGGCCTTGTTTGGTTTGTGTTTCTCAAAAAAATTTGGGAAAAATTCTTTACAAATAAGTTTTCAAAAGTAATCAAATCAAACCCAAAAAAATTTTCCAAAACTTATTTGGTTTACAAATTTTCCAAACAAATCTATCTCTCATACACATCAAATCAATCACTTTTTCCAAAACTCTCTCTCAAAATAATTTTTCAAAACATCTTTTGAAAAAAAACCAAACCAAACAAATTTTCGTACTTTTTATCTCAAAACATGTTTCTCAAATACAAACCAAACAAGGCCTGAGTTTTTTGGTTTTCATGTTTTTTTGTTTTTAGTGAATATTTTTAAAATTTTAAACATTTTTTTTTACTTTTTTAGATGCACCTTACTTAGATGTATCTAAAGTAAAAATTTTGTGAAAAAATATTTTAAAAAATTAATAAATATATAAAAATACAAAAAATGTACTTAATTCTTGTATTTTTTTTTTTTTTGTATTTTTGGTATTTATTGAATTTTTAAAAGATTTTTTTTATAATTTTTTTACTTTTTAGGTGTATTTATGTTAGGTGTGTCTAAAGAGTAAAAAAATTGCTTAAAATATTAAAAAAATTTAATAAAAACAAAAAAAACGAAAAATAAGAAAGTTGAATTTTCTGAAAACTGTTTTTAGAAAAAAATGGAACCAAGCAAGGTTTTTTTTTTTTTTTTTTTCCATACCAAAAGAATCGAAGTATGGTGCTTCTCCAATGAAAGAAATCTATTAATGGAAGTTAAAACTGTGGTTATCCTTGATTTTTTTTACTCATTTTCTGCGAAATGGTTGATTCCACAAATGTCTTCTTAAATAGACCAATATGAAGATATTGTAAGAATTTTTGAATAAACCCGTATATTCAATTGCATAATTGATACAAGAATACATCAGTATATATAACAATCTAAACCCTAGAACCGAAAAAGGAAACATTACTATTCCTAGTATATACAGAATATATACTATCATATATACATAAACCTAATATTCTCACACCCTCACTCAAACTCAAGGTGTTTTAATATAAAACACTGTGAGTTTGCCAAGAAGAAATTGAAACCGAACAGTGGTGTGAGTCTTGGTAAAGAAGTCAGCCAGTTGCAGAGTTGACGAGACGAAAAGAAGCGAGATAGAGCCAGATTGCAAATGCTGACAGACAAAATGACAATCAATTTCAATGTGCTTCGTCCGCTCATGAAAGACAGTGTTATGGGCAATCTGAATAGCACTGTGGTTGTTATAGTAAAAGGAGGTCGAAAAAGACTAACGGACACCTAAATCAGATAAAAGACGACAAAGTCAAACAATCTCAGCAGTAGCATAAGCCATAACACGGTACTCAGCTTCGGTAGTGGAGCGAGCAATAATAGTTTGTTTCTCACTTTTCTAAGAAATTAAGGAATCGCCAAGAAACATACAAAAACCAGACATGGACTTGCGATTAGTAATATCACCAGCCCAATCAGAATCAGCATAGACCATCAAGTCCAAAGAAGAAGTGGAGGATAGTAGTAAATCCTAAAAGATAGGACCTCGGAGATAGAGAAGAATCCAAACCAATGCTGCCCAATGGGTGGAGCGAGGAGCAAAAACAAATTGGCTAACTATATGAACAACATAGGTAAGATCAGGACGAATAACAGTAAGATAGACTAAGCAACCCACGAGCTAGATATAAAGTAGGATCATCCAGAGGGACACAATCAGTATAGTTGTACTACACATTAAGCTCAATAAGTGTATCAGAAACCTTAGTATCAGTAAGACCAGCATGGTGAATGACCTTATTAGTATACTTAGCCTGAGACAGAAAATAGCCCTTTGGAGAAGAAACAACCTCAATACTAAGAAAATACTGCAATGGACCCAGATCCTTCATTTCGAAGTTGCGAAAGAGATGCTGCTTGACCTCAGAGATAGCATAAGAGTCAGAGCCAGTGATGATCATATCATCGACATATAGTAAGAGCAACAAAACCAGTCGAGATATGTCTCAGAAACAAAGCAGATTTGGAAGCAGAAGGATGAAATCCAAGCTTGGTAACAGCAGTCTAAAAGCGATCATACCAAGCACGAGGAGATTGCTTCAAACCATGTAAAGCACGCCGAAGATGACAAACCTGCCCAGAGAAGTGGGGACGGCCAGGGGTGGACGCAAGTAGACCTCCTCAGTGAGATGACCATTAAGAAAAGCATTCTCAACATCCATCTAATAGAGAGGCCAATGTCGAATATTAGCAATAAGAATCAAGGTATGGACAGTAGTCATCTTGGCAACAGGGGCAAAGGTCTCCCCATAATCAATATCATACTTACGAGAAACTCTTGGCAACCAGGCGAGCTTTGTATCACTCGAGAGAATCATCAAAATGAGTCTTGACTTTATAGACCCAGTTGCAACCAACCAGATTCTCGTCAACAAGTAAAGGAACCAACGCCCAAGTGTTAGCCTTCTGCAAAGCAAACGACTTATCTTCCATAGGTTGAACCCAATTAAGATCCTGATAGGCCTCTCTGTAAGATTGAGGTTCTGAAAAAGAATGAATAGCAGACAAAAATATACAGTATAAAGGAGAAAAACATGTTTTAGCAAACCAAGTTTGACTACCCGTTTACAAATGTGAAGGGAATACTTATGATTAGCAAGATCAGAGTCGTCAAAAACAAGAAGATCAGCAGCAGGGGCAGAGACAACTAGTGAAGGGAGCTTTGCGACGAGAATAGACTTATATCGAAAGAGGAGGAAGAAGAGGAGCAGGCAGGGAAGGAGGAGGAGAGGAGGGAACAGACTCATGGGGGTTAGTGGAGAAGGATTCATGAGGAGGGGTGGTACAAGGAAAAGAGGAAATAAGCTCATGGGGAACAACAGAGATATACTCATCAGGAGGGATCTCAAAAGTAAATGGATCAATATAAATCAAATCCTCTTTGGAAATTGGGGCAGTGAGGGGAGGAAACTGAAATTAAGGTAGACGTTCGAGAAAGGCAACATGGTAGGAGACATAAAGGCGCTGAGAAACAGGGTCATAATAGCGATAATCTTTCTAAGTGAGATTGTAACCCAAAAAGACACATAGGACAGATCGGGCACTAAGTTTGGTCCTATCTTTACGGAGTAAAAAGACAAAACAAGCAGATCCAAACACATGAATGAGGAAGTAATTAGGAAGTTGAGAAAACAGAACCTTATAAGGAGACCGGCCAGAAAGAAGGGGGGTAGGGATACTGTTGAGAAGGAATGCAGCAGTAAGAAATGTCTCACCCCAAAATGGAGTTGAAACGAAGGCAAAGAGAAGTTGAGACCTAGATGTCTCAAGGAGATGACAGCATTTGCGCTCAGCTTGACTATTTTGGGCAAATGTATCAGTACTGGAAGTTTGGTTAATAGTACCCAAATTGGCCAAATATTCACAAAATTTAATTTTAAAGTATTCCCCGCCCGAGTCAGACCGCAACAATTTAATAGTAGACACAAACTGTGTAGTGACCATAGACTAAAAAGTACGGTATATCTAGTAAAAGTCAGACTTATGAGTCATAAGATAAATCCAAGTATAACGGGTACAGTCATCAACAAATAAAACACAGTATGTAGAACCTTTTTTAGTGAGAACAAGAGAAAGACTCCAGACATTAGTATTGAACTAAAGAAAACGATATATCAAATATAGAGGTACTTTTACGGAGAGTTAAGACTATCATTTTGACAAGTTTTCACCCCCGACACTCGGTAAGTTGACTAGGAGAAATTTTACACAATATACCTGATTGAGCTAAAGGCTGTAAGCGGTCAGCAGACAAATGCTGTAATCTGGAATGCCACAAATAGAAAGGATTTGACAAATAATCTAACTGAAAGAAAGAAAAAGACGTTGGAGAGGTAGTCATAGGTAGATGTAGGCTCTCTACCACATAGAGGTCTCCAACTCTATGACCAGTCCCAATCTACTGCTTGGGCATTCGATCCTGCACAGAACAGATAGAAGAAATAGAAGAGGAAAAGATAACATCAAAACCGGAGGTATCAAGCTAACTGATAGATAATAAACGAACAGATAACTGAGGAACATAAAGGACAGATGGAATAGAAACAGCAGACATAGTAGACGGTAAGATAAACCTAACAGATATAACAGACCCATTAGCATCATTAACAGTAATAAGAAAGAGAGGGGGAGTACAATTTTAAAGTAAGGAGAGATGGGGAGTCAAATGATAAGAGGCACCAGAGTCAAAAATACAAACAGATGAAGAGATATTTGAAGAAGACCCAAGCAAACCTGAATGAAAAGAGGAAACAATGGAGGCAGACGGGGATGGCTGGGAGGTAAACAGTGTATGCTGAAGCTGGCTAATCTGAGCACTCAAGGAAGCTAAGTCAGGATCAGGAGCTGGCGAGAGACCAAACAGTACTCAGAGGAGAGGCGCAAAACTAGATCGAAAACTGCTGAGAAGATGAAGTAGACAGACATCCATTCTTGAGACAATGGTACTTCCAATGACCCCTTTGATGGTAGTAGGCACATTCATCAAAAGCCAGAGAGATTGTAATAACCAGAAAGCTCAGGGCTTCAAATGCAAGAACCCAAAATCAGAACTAGAGGGATCAAACTGTAATATGCAAAAAGGTTATCCAACAAACCCACAAATTAACAAGGTCTTGAATGAAATATATAATGACCAGGTGGGGTCACTTTATAATAACCAAAATTTGGACCCAATCCACTAATATTCCCAGTTAGATAAACAGAACTGGAAGTCCTAACCCACAAATATCCTAAGTAGAATCACACAGAGAGAGAGAGAATGAGACTGAAGCAAAGACAGTGACCAGCGAGCGACGGAGCTTCTAGGGCTCCGAACAGCGACGACGGTGAGAGAGAGAGATGATGCAACAACCAGCGACTTGGTTCCTAAGGCAGCCTGGTTCTTCGACTGAAATAGAAACAGAGGTAGAGACCAGAGAAAGAGTTTTGATGATCACGAACGAGAGAAATCCAAAGGAGGGTCACGTCGAACTTGACCTAGAGAGACAAGGCCAAGGTGACACTCCTTTAACCAGTGAAGACGGAGCACATCTTCTTCCCGAAGCAAATAAGGAACTAGTTGAGTCACGCTAGACACTCGTGACCTTCGATCGAACCAAACAAAGACAAAAGGAGTCACGACTTGCAACTCAGGGAGAGATGAAACCAGAGGGCTGTTTTCCGAGAGATAATCGTGACGAAGGAGATGACCTATGATCACAACTCAGTGAAAATCTATTAAGGAAGAAAATTTAAAGACAACGTTTAAAGTTTGGGCTTAGAGGCGACTCTAATACCATGTAAGAATTTCTGAATAAACGCGTATATTCAATTGTGTAATTGATACAAGAATACATTGGTATATATAACAATCTAAACCTTAGAACTGAAAAAGGAAACATTACTATTCCTAATATATATAGAATATATACTATCATATATACATAAACCTAATATTCTCACAGATATTCCCATCCCACCAATTCTTATTTAAAAAAACAGACTTATTTTTAATTATGAAGAATTTCTCTTCTCCCTACCTAGTCTAGTTTGTGACATTTTGTCTCCAATTTCTCCTTTTTGGAGAGCGGTAAACCACCGTTTAAAATTTGAAGTTTTCCATATATCCAACAAAAAATTTCCATAGGACATCACAAATGTAGCAAGTTAGTGTACTGTAAAGATATTAGTGTTCTTTTTTTTATCGGCATATTGTCGTATCAATCATGTCCCATCGTGAAGGTTATTGTTCTTGTTATGTAATAAGTTTTCTTATAGTGTTGGATCACGTGATTTAGTCAAGTTGTCTCTAATATACAAATTAAAGAGCTTCGTTGTAATATATTTTATTGTTAGGCTAAGTTCCAACCTAACACATGATAGAACTTGTGTGGATTATTGAGAAACTCAAAACTCTTTGTTATGGAAGACTGTGGCGAATCGTTTGTAATGTCAAAAAATAAAGAAGGGAAAAAAAAGTACACTATAACTTATAAGCCCCCAGCTTTGGTTAATAATTCTTAGGAAATAATATAACAATTATTACTTCCTGACTATGAAGCACGGACACGTGTCAGACATGGACATGCATCAGACACGCGGTACGCACGGTGGACACGTGTTTGGCACTCTACCAAAGGTGTCCCTTCTTTTTTTTTTGAATTTTTCTAGCCAAACACGCTTGGGACATTCTCTTGGACACGTTATGGACAGAAAGGGAGAGAAACTCTTAACTTGTTGGAGAGAGAGAGAGAGAGAGAGAGAGAGAGAGAAAGGGTGAAGAAGAACCTGTTGAAATGAAGCCCTAAATTAGGTATGTTCTTCGTTTCTTCAAATCTTGTCTTCGATCTTCTTCTTTTCTTTTGTTTTTCTTCATTTTTCTTCTTCTTTCTTCATTTCTTCTGTTCATCTATGTTCGTCTGTGTTCATCTTCCCCTCTCTCCCTCCCCCTCTCTCTCTCGCGCTAAGGTGTTCCGACTCTCTCTTTCCTAGTGTTTGACTCTCACTATCTCTTTTCTATTCTATTAATTTTTTTTCTAATAATATACATAGATATATTATATTTGATATTAAAATAAATAAATAATATTTATATTTTTTAATTTTATGTATAATAAATAAATAAAATTATATATATTGAGCATGTCCCCCGCGTGTCGTGTCCCTCATTTTTTGAAAATTTGTGTGTCCGCGTGTCCATGTCATGTCCCATGTCCATGTCTGTGCATCATTGGCTTCCTGAAGATTCCAAATTTAGGGAACAGAAATGTGAACTATTTTTCTTTATTTTTATTTATATTTTGAATAAATTTATCAAAGGGTAGAGGCATCTGTATGTGCGTGAATTCATCAATCACTTCCTTGTTACTTCCTTGCTTCTCATTTCACATTTGCTTGCATTTTCTAATGCTTACTTTTGGAAGATTACCTAATACACTCTCACTCCTACCCATGACATCTTCATTGTTGAAAATTCTCCTTTGCGTTGAATTGTAGGTCTATGATGCTGCTTAGATCCAGTTAAAATTATAACAATCACAAAAATAAAATAAAATAAAATTTAAATACAGAGTCAAAACTGGTGCTTCCACCACTGATACTTCAATAAAAGTTTGGTGTTATATTGTTACTTTGCCACGCCTTTTAAATACCAATAAAAATTTGATCGTCCTGCAGTGGTCAAAGGATGAATTATTTGTGTAGGGAATAAACAGAACCTGATAGAAAATATTTATGTTGATTTTATGTGTTATTACTAAAGTTGAATGCAAAGTAATGATTGCTACATCCATGATGCGTCTCTGTGCTCCCTGCATTTCTGTGTTCACTGTGAATAGTTGTTTAGTATCTTTGGTTATTTATAGTTGTGTACATTTGGATGATTCTGTTTGTTTTAATACTTTGATATGTTGATGATTTCCTTGGTTCATTTTCTCTGCGTACAGGATGATTCTTATTTGGAGAGTTACATAAGCACCATTGGAGTTGATTTTGTGAGTAAATTTACCGAACAGCTAAATAGTTAGCTTGATTTTACATTGGCAATTGTGCTAATCTTTATATACAATATTTCTTTTCTTGTAGAAAATACGCACAGTGGAGCAAGATGGGAAGACTATCAAACTTCAAATTGTATGCATTTTAATTGGTCTTTGACAATCTCTAATTTTTTGTTCAGTGACATGGTCTCTAGATCAGATTCTCTGCTATTATATTTACATGTTCCATATCTGAAGGAAAGTGAGCATTCTTTTTAATACAGGATGATACTCTTTTGATAATTAGTCAGCCATATTCTTTATTTAACATCATTAATCAGATTCTGATTATCCTTACGCCTGGTTTTATCAGCTTTTGGCATTCAATTTTATTTTTTTTGTGGGAACTATAGTTTCTTTTTGTCTGCATAAGTGCTCAGTGTGCTTCTTCAATTACATGCACAGTGGGACACTGCAGGGCAAGAACGTTTTAGGACAATCACTAGCAGCTACTACCGTGGAGCCCATGGAATTATAGTAAGTTTTCTTCCTCTTAAACTGTAAGTTATAGTGGGTTGAGTTGGATAGGTTAGTTATATTTAGAAAGTTGGGTTCACCATCTGTTTGGATGGTGTACCATATGTCAGTGCTGACATGGTATCACTGTTACACTGAAGTTTTATTTGCTAATTGGTATCTGCACCACCCTTTTAGCTCACACTAATTTCTCCTTGCGGTGGCTTCTCCTGTAGGTGGTTTATGATGTAACAGACCAAGAGAGTTTCAATAATGTCAAGCAGTGGCTGAGTGAGATTGATCGCTATGCAAGTGACAATGTCAACAAACTTCTAGTTGGGAACAAGTGTGATCTCACTGCAAACAAAGTCGTGTCTTCTGAAACAGCCAAGGTTGGTTTATTTTGCTATTTGTTCAAAGAATACATCTCAAACTTACCTTATTAGGAGAAAATTATGTGCGTATTTATTTTCTTTTAGGCATTTGCTGATGAAATGGGCATACCATTCATGGAGACTAGTGCAAAAGATTCTACTAATGTGGAGCACGCTTTCATGGCTATGGCTGCTGCAATAAAAGATAGGTAGGTACCTTGCAAACAATTTGGTTATCTATACTATCTATACTATTGTAGAAAGGCAACACTATTACACAAATAAATTTGTATTTTGTTTATATGTATAGTACACAAATATTTATATACAACACACACATTTGCATGCGTAATAAACACTAGTAATCATTTGCACCCACCTAATCTCAACAAATAACTGCAATTTGATTGGAAATCGTGGTTGGACTGGTATAAGTAGGGATACCTGCCTCTTAGAAAAGGGTTAGTAAAGGCCCTTTTAGGGAGTTTGAAAAGGAGGTATTAAATTATTTATATATTGAATACTGTGATTTGCATCCTTGAGATCATATTATTTCTTGAATGGGGTTGGGGCTCACACCAGCGGTTTAAAAAATAAAGGTTGGTGTCTATAATCTTTCCCCAGCTGAAAACACAGTACATACCCTATCATATCAGAAACCTAAATGCATAATAAATTCAGAAATGTTATAATGAGGCAGGTGGTGTTGATTGGGTCCATGATTTCAGCTCAAACCCATAGTCTCTTGCATTTCTTTGCTCCAACCCTAAGTTAAAGTTTTGAGGTTGTTCTACCTTGTGTTACATGGATTCTTCTAAATATATGAAGTACCCGTATCATGGGATATGAGAATTAGATGAATCAGAGACTTGGACATAAATCATGCCCAACACACATACTAGAGTCACGTGTAACTTATGTTCTACCAGCAAAAGATTGGATCAATTACTTGCATCTTTTGTGTACTATCAGATGCCTCGTTTGCCCTTAATGTTTTTTTCCCTAAATACAGGATGGCAAGCCAACCGGCCATGAACAATGCGAAGCCTCCGACAGTGAATATCCGTGGACAGCCTGTTGCACAGAGCGGTGGCTGCTGCTCTTCTTAAGTGGAAAGGGGTAGGTGGGTACTAATTGTCTATGTACTACTCTCTGCCTGCGCTTTTGGCTTCTCTCTCTCTCTCTCTCTCTAGCATGTGAAAGTACTATTTTCTTCACTGTCTTTAATTTGAAGGAAAAGCATATATATATACTCGTTTAACTCCAGACAAACTTTGTTTAACTATGCTTTTTTTTTTTTTTTAGTCTGTTTGGAGATTTGCTATCATTTTATTCTTTTGAATATATTTGATTATGAAAGCATGTACAAATTAAGAATATGTCAATTAATGTTAGAATTGTTTGTTCTGCTTTCTTATTCTACACTAAAATATTCTCTTCAACCTTATGCTTAAAAATTAAACATGTGCACTCTCTTCTAACTAAGGATGTTAAGGATTTGTTTTTATCAATTATTGGACTTCGCAATTAGGAAGTTCGTCATACAGTATTGCTCTGTTTGTTTTTGCAAATATTTTTCAAACAAAAAAAAAATCTTATGCAAAAAAAATTGTGTTTGATTGTGGCCCTGAAAAATGGTGTTGGTTGTGGCAGTGGCAGGGGTCACAGCCACAGCGCAGTGATATTGAGAATCTAGTTTGTATAGATATAATAAGATACATTACTATGTACAGTTTTTATATATGAATTTTGTTTCATTAGAAATTTAGTGAACTTGGTCCAATATTAAAGTGCAATTTGATAACATTTATTATTACCATGATTATTATTATTTTGTAATATTAATCATTTTTATTTTTGTAAAAATGAAAACAAAAATCTATTTAGCACAAGAAGTTATTTAAGTTATTTAGTGGTCCAAAAATATTACTTCACACTACATAAGTCATGTTGTCTCGTCAGGAGACAAAAAGTAATAGGACCACTATTTTGACCAATGAAGGACATGTTTGGAGCACCATTTAGAATTGCTGCTGGATCAAACTATAATTTCTCATTTAGCACATTCTTATAAACAAATGACAGACTAAAAAGTAGTGACTGTCACTACCGAAATTTTTTACAAAACAAACGAAAACTTTTATTTTGGGTCACAAAAGTTAAATAAATTTATACATAATAAACATAATTTATGTAAATATAAACAAAATGCTGCAAACATAATAAACAATAATACTAACCAATCATCAAATGCATCACAACCACAGCGGCGGCCACCACCAATGAATTAGCGGTATATACAACACCTCGGCCACACCTGTTAACCAACTACTAGGTACTTGCCAAGTATCAGACTAACAGGATAAAATGTGAAATTTGTTAGCATAAACGGAAATATCTTGAATGAGAAAAAAAATAACAAAGATAACGCCTCAATTGTCTTCCATCTATTGAAAACAAAACTGAGCAACAACAATTTCAAGTCATAAATTAAATTTTCATGTGCCCCAAACATTCAAAACATAAAAAAAAATAAAAATAAACAGACCATAGTAGTATAGGGGGAGGAAGCTACATGGGAACAACACACGAAGAAATACCTGAAATTTACATTTAAGGCATTAAAAACCTTTTTTTTTGTTTTTTGATACAGAGAACTCCATTATTCTTCTAGTCAAACAAGGACAGTAGAGATTGATGGAAGAAGGCATGAGGTATTAATCTCACTTGGCACCTAGGGTTGGGAACTGCCCTTGATCTTCAATTTTAGGAGCTGCCACGTTGCTCATGCTACCTCCTCCACCATAACCTCCTCTCGAATCACGTCCACGCCCACCCCTACCACGGGTGCCGGGACTGTAGTACCTATCTCCAGCGGGCTTTAAGAACTCGTTAATGCTGACAGACTGCAACATGTGAATCAAGAATCAGTTAACCCAAAATTTGAAAACACCACGCATTTTACGTCCACCAAAAGGATACAAGTATCTGCGCAATACATGAGTATTGACAACAAATTTCAGGGTAAGGAAAGCAATATGCATGAAATCGTAAAATCATCAGCTATATCCTATATAAAGTGTGTTGAAATAGGTGAAAAGTGTAAATAAACGTGTATAGGAATATGTGAAATGTGTATTTGATTTTTATTGTTTGTTGACATTATTTGGTCCTTAACAAACATCCATCGGATATCGTTAGTAGGACCATTATTTAATTATCTTTCAACAATTCAGGAATTTGGACTGCATTTAGGCAAACTTTGAAAAACCCCAATAAACGGGCAACAGCAGTTCACTAAATATCTTGCAATGGATGAAAGAAATCTTTCTGCAAGCCATGTCCAGATAACTCGATCAGCCATATAATAATTGGCCAAGTACTGTCCAGTTAAGACTCTCAATGTGAGCCCTTGAACTATATACACCTATATATAAAACATCTTTGTTATGTGGAGCAGATACATCAGACGTTTTGAGTCTGCCAGTTCACAGTGATCCAAAATCCAAATCAAACAACGCAAACTAAAAGAAAGACAAAACAATGTGCAGATCAACAGAAAAGAAACAAAAAAAAAAAGTGCCAATAGTAAGTAGGAGTGCAGGGCTCGCAAATTTGACCACGAGGTTTAACTATGTCTCTGAAAAGTTCAGGCAAACCATCGTACCTTTTTGGATTTCTCTTCCTTTTCAGCCAATTCTTTTCGCTTATCCTTGTCAGAACCCTATATAAAACATCATATGTAACTCATAATTAATATAGTTGTGAGTTTATGAAAAGAAAAATTCAAGTAGAGTCAACGGATTTCACCAATTTAACAAAGATGTCATTATTGTCCTTCTTGCTTGAGAGTTGTTGCATGGATGCCAGTTCTTTGTCAACAGCCACCTTCCTTTCCTCAGTTTTAAGGGCCAGCAGTGCCTTCCTCTTCTCTTCCAGCACCTTCTCATACTCTTCAAGTGTCATCTCCTATATTGTTTTCAGGACAATTACCATAACAATATTTAGAGATGCATAAAAAATACCATTATCATGCTTAATTACACAGATGAACTGCGTCCTGACTTTTGAATTTCTCAAAGTTTTTTGTTATCATAATAGAGTAATCATTATCAATCAATCCTTCAAATTCCTACAGACATTTAGGATAGCAATATTGAAAAGGTTCTGCTACAGCCAAGATGATAAGAAACTTAAAAAAATATAATTTTGATTGATATATTTTAGGAAACGATATTCACACTCCCCCTCATGAGAGAAAAGACGATGAAAAATTGGAGGCAAAGACCAAAAGAGTGTGATGTGAGTTAATATCATTTTCCTAAGTATTATTATCACGAGAATCTCAAAAAAAATTGTTTTTTTATTCATTTTAGTAGGGCTTTCAGAGGCTTAAGTGACAGAATTTTGGTTGCAAGATTATTGTGTTAGGTAGGCTTTGTTTTAATGGGTAATTGTGTTCCTAGCATTTTATGAAGCCCACATAGCCACTCATTGGTGTAAAACCAAATTAGTTTCAAATTAAGTTGAGAATTACAGGAGTAACGCTCTCTCCCCATCCTTTCCTCTTCTCCGATTTTTTTGCTACTCCATTCTCTTCTATGATTTACTTCTCTTCTCATCTTCTCTATTCTATTCTTTCCATCTCTGTTTCTCCTCCTTCCTTTTTGTATCATTTTCATCAAAACATAACAAGAATTAATCAGCTTGAGTATATAAAAATAAAATAAAATTCTACCAAAAGGGGAAGGAAAAACCAAAGAAGTCAAAACAAAAAAAGACCCATATGTGGACAATTCTGAAGAAAATAAATTCCAAAATGCTGAATGCAATATATTTTGCATTGTATTTGCTTAGAAAACCAAGCTGTTGGCAGATCAAAAGTGATCTGAAAAGGCATTTTCTTATCAAAACGTAACCTCAGTCTAACCTGCCATCAACTTGCTTAATGTCCATTTTTCTTTGTTGAAACTTCAGAACTTAACCATGAGAAAGTGAATTTTGGGATTATCAATATATCAACCATGAGAAGGTGAATTTTGGGATTATCAATATATCTAAAATATAAAAATAGAAGATATTCACCTTCTCCTCGGGTTCTTTTTCTTCAGCAGCCTCATTTGCAGGATTCTCCTTGTTAACATCTGTTGCTTCTTCCTCTCCAGCCGGCTTCTCAGAAGCCACATTTTTTTCACCTTCATTCACAACTTCCTCAGTCACTCTGAATAAAGTAAACATGGTCAGAAGAAATGTTAATTTAGACACCCTTAAAGCATTTTCAAAAATACAAAATGCCCCTAATATCAAAAATACAAAATGCCCCTAATATCATATGGCAAGTTGAAGGAGGCAACGAAATGATAACTGAGCAAGTTCATCAGTTGGAGTTCCCCAGTTCCCTCGACCAGCTCCTTCACGTTTGAATTCATTTCTGCACACACAACGAAAGCACACAGGCAAATAAATATCACATTTTTAAACTTCAAAGGTATGATACACTAAGATGAACTAATGTAAGGCACCTCAATGAGGTAAATCAAGGGGAACTAACAAGGGGGAAGTATTTACCCTCGTCCAGTACCGCTGCGGCGTTCAAAAACCCGACGAGTGCGTTCCCCCCCATCTCCTGCTCCGTCTTCTCCATTGCTAAAACCACCACGGCGACCACCACGGAAAGAACCACGTGGTCCACCATAGCCACCACGCCTTTCAGAGGGCTTTCCAGCATCTGGCTCTTCAGTGCCACCTTGACCACCAGAAAATCCACTGTTACTGAATGAATTTTCGTTGGGTGGGTCTCTATTAAATCCACCCCCACCACGACCACGTCCATATCCACGTCCACCACCTCGGCCTCCCCCACGTCCTACTTCAGTCTTTGCCTCCTTCACTGCTCAAAAGAAAAATGAAGTGAATAATATGAAAAATAATGAGACAGTATAAAGCAGCATAACAGTGAAAAGCAAACAGATATGCCATATATCATGTCCAATTTGTTGCATAACACAATAGCTAAAAAGAAATAAAACAAAATCACCAATATCAACCAAGTAGGTAACGAAAAACAGTGAATGCAACATGAACTCCTGTCAACAGATAATTAAGGATATGTACATTAGCCCAACATGATCATTTCAAATCAATGAAAAATGTTTTGGGATAAAATGACATAGGATCAGATAGAAATTGGTAAATGATTGTTTCCTTTCCGTATACCATAGCTTCTACTAGGCTAACTAGAAGAAATGTAACCATGTAGCCTACCTTGAGTAATTGGGACAAAGACTTGTCGAGTTGGATTCAACAGAATCCCAACAAACAATTGCATAAACAGAAGTAGGTGGTATCAGTTAGTTTCATGTTTCATAATCCCCAAAAAATCAAACGGATCGAGACCATCTTGCTCCATTAAGGTAATTTGTACGACAACCAACAAATTGTTGCATAAGTAGCATTATGAAAAGAATTCAGGTCCACTATCTTATTTTGAAATTCATGGTACAAAACGACCAAAATCTAGACAGTAAAACAACTGTTACCCCATCAAGGATTTAGAAACTACCATACATTTTATAGAATGCCTTAAAAGTTTCTTCATTCATTCATTTATTTTCTGTTTCCGGAACACAAAATTCCCGAGAAAATAGAGCCTTTTCATATTTTACAAACCAAAAATCTTTAATTGTAGTTTTATTCCACAAAGGACTGCTTTGTTCTATGCAGGAAGTGACAGTCATTTTGAACCACAACTTCCTTCTCACGCGGTTCCGAAAATGCACTTTCTCATTTGTCTGTTTGTCAAAACTATTTGTATCATATTAAAAACAACAAAAACAACAAAACCTTATTTGCAAATGCCAATTGTCATGACCAAGTTAGCAATAACACCATCTGAATCACCAACTAAGAATCCCAAATAAATAAATAAATAAATAAAATAAAATAAAATAAAATCATACCCAGTAATACATAGATAATATCAAATGAAACCCACTTCGAATCCACTTTGTTCTATCATTTTCAAATAAAGACAACCCATATGATTAAATTCAAATCTTAAACACATGCAACATGTTAAATAGAGATTGAACAAGAAAATGAATAGATAGCTCACCAGCCTGAGCTGGAGGGAGAGGCTTGGAGGGAAGCTTTGCAGGCTTAGGGTGCTGAGCCTGGGGGGCTTGGGTGGTCGGAGACACAGCCTTCTTAGGAACGATCTTCTGCTGCTGAGCAGCGATCAGATGCGACGGGTCATCGTTATCGTCATCACCCAGCAAATCGAAAGGGTTCGCAGTCGCCATTTCCAATCCCAACAAGAAAACCCCCCAAAAAAACTTTCAGTGACTGAACTTCGAAAAAGGCGACCGCGAAACCCTAGTTCCACTTTAAAGCCATTGAAATCGATATACAGATCTGAGACCACTCAACACCACCACCACCACGACAACAAAACTTCACAGCGTTCTAGATAGAGAGAGAGAGAGAGAGAGAATGGTTTGGTGAAACCCTAGCCGCAATGCAGTGGAGAGTGAGAGAGAGTGAAACCTAATCTGAAAATCCGAACTAACAAATTTTAATATATAAATATATTTTAATTAATAATTTTAAAAAATTATTATGGTATAAAAGAATATTTAAAAAATAATAATGCTTGAGATCTTAAAAGTGGTACTCTAAAAACACTATTAATAATGTGGCAGTGGAGTTTGTGTCTTTTTTTTTTTTAATTTAAAGTGTTTGCCAACTTATTAGTGGTGCTTTAGAGCACCACTTTTAGTGGGATATATCATTACTGTTTAAAAAATCAGTCCCGATTTAGAGCACTAAATTGGAAGTTCTAAAATGACCACTAATGAGGTGGCAGTGTAAAGGAAAAAAAAAAATCAAAAAAAACAAAGGTCAAACTATCACATTAGTGGTGGCGTCCACATGATGTCACATCATTAGTGGTGTTAAATTAGTGGTATGAAGCATTTTTCATTAAAAAATTTAGTAGCGTTTGATAAAGTTTTAGAATTATGATTTGATAATAAAGTTATATTTTAAGTTTGTGAATTTTAGAATTATGATATGAGTGTGAAAAATTTGTTTGGTTATGAATTATGAAAAAAGTTTTGAATTGAATTTAAAATTTTTAATGTGACATATGATATCTGATTTAAAAGCCTACATCTCATAACTAAACAATTTAAATTCTATTTAAAATTTATAAAAAAAAAATTAAAAATTCTAAAAATATTTTTTATTTAAAATATAAAAATAATATATCAAAAAAAAATGAACACTGTTCCAGACGTCTGGAATACTTCAGGAAATGACCGAATAGCCGTGTTCACAAAAATAAGTGTAAAATTAATTTTTGAAAATTGTAATCAAATGTTACATTCAAACCAATGGAGGGAACTGAGGTTAGAAAGGGCTTTTACTTTTCTGATTAATTTTATTAAATAAAAAAATTTAACAAAAGTAAAAAAAATTAACAGAAGAAGTGTTTATGATTTTTTAAATTATATAAGGATATTTAGGAGTGGTTTGGGATGTTCTAAATAAGTATATATTTTAACTTTTTATAAAATATGGGTTGGATTTGAAATGATGGGATAAAGAGATGATGTGACTTAAATAAGATAATAATTTTTTAATTTTTTTAGTAGGTGTCAAACAAGGTCTTATATTTTAAGTAAAATTTAAGAATGTATTTGTAATTCATTATTATTATATTACTTTTGTGAATGATGAATGAAACGGTGTCGTTTTTGGTGATGATAATTGAGGATAATAATACGGATGGAGTATTGCTGGAGTGGGGACCGAGGGGAGGTTCGTGTTTATCTTGAAAATGTAGATTCAATCCACGTGGTGTATATCTGGCCCTACATTAATTACAATATTATGACGTATATATGTGATGTTTCTGTCTTGCCAATCAAACGTGAAAAATATTGGGAAATTTACAAAAACAAATTAATGCTCCGTTTATTTTAGAGTTAGAATCATAATTTAAGCGTAGCGTTATAATAAAATATGGGGTTATGAGTTAAATTTTAAAAAATAAAACTGATTTAATTATAAGTTTTGAAAAAAAAAAAATTGGGTTATATTGTGAATTTTGAGTTATATTTTAAAATTTTTTGAATTTATTTTTTTTATAAATATTTAAAAATGTTTAAGAAAATTTTATTTTTTATTTTAAATATATAATATTTTAAACTCAAAATACATTGTGTCTTTTTTTTTGTCCTTATGTACTTATTTAGTCCCAATATGTTTACCAAACCAAGAAATTTCTCTAACATTCATTTTTAGTTTGATATTTTATCCAAGGTTAAAATATATATATATATATATATATATTCATTATAATTGACAAGACAAATATAAAAAATCAAATTTTTAAAAAAAAATTAAAAAATAAATATTTTAAAAAAGTAAAAAAATATATTTAAAAAATTAAAATATTTAAAAAATAAAATAAAATATTTAAAGTAAAAATAATATATTTAAAATAAAAATTTTTAAAATTTTAAATATTTTAAAAAATACAACTCAAATATTTAAAAAAAATACAACGCACAATTATATGAAATACAGTACATATTAAAAACATACAACTCAAAACTCTTTTCAAAACTCATAACTCAAAACATAGCTTCACACTCAAATAGGGATGTAAGAAAAATCGAAAAAACCAACTAAACCGATCGAATCGGATCGAACCGGTCATATTTGGTCGGTTTTTTAATATGAATCGGTCTGGTCGGTTTTGGAAATTAATTTTTTTTAATTTTCGATTCGGTGCCGGTTCTGATATACTATATACCGATTTGCACCGAAACCGACCGAATATATTTACATGTAATATGTATTAAATATATAATGAATATTTTGACTCTATTTGATAGACTTGTGGTTTAGACTTATGGGATGATTGTTTTAAGTTTTGATTTTGTTTTGATGTCAAGACTTTGGTTTTGAGATTATATTTTGTTTATAATTCTAATTCAGTAAAAGCTTCAAACCTTAGTATTTATTAATTTTTTTATTTGTATTTTTGTGTATGGTTAGATTAAATATGGTTAAAATTGTGTACAAATGGCTAATTTAATATTTTTATATAAATTATTTATTATACTACAAATTTAAGAAATGACTTAATTTTGAAAGTACTTAAACCGATTAAACCGCATTGAACCGAACCGTTTGAATCGGTGCAGTTTTGTGCGGTTTAATAAAAAATTTGGTCTGCATTGGTTTTCAATATAATAAAACCGACATTATCGGTTCGGTGCGAAATTCCACCTAAACACCGACCGTCCCAAACCGACTACACCCCTACACTCAAATCATGATTTTAAAAAACAAAATAAAAATATATTTTTTTGAATTTTTTTTTAAATAGAGTTTGGAAAAGAGTTTGATTATGAGTTTTGAGTTGTGTGTTAGTTATGAGTTTTAAAAATAATTTTTGAATTGAGTTTTGAATTGTATATTTGATTATGAGTTTTAAAAAGAATTTTCAATTTTTTTTTATTAGAATCACAATTTCAAAAGTAAACCAAATGTAATCTAAAGTAGTACATTTTGCAAATGAGTCGAACTGAGTCAAGTTTTACTAAGTTCGAGTTTGGTTCGTTTGTTTATCGAGCTTGTTTATTTAGCTCAAGTTTAGCTTGATAATTAATTGTGATCGAATTCAACTTCGCTCGTTAATACTAATGAAACTCGAGCTTAGTCCGACTCAGTTCAATAATATTATTATTATTTTTTTATATTATTTAATACATAAATAATATATTTATACTATTATTTATAGATATTTATATATTATTAGTTAAAGCACACATGCAACGTGCGTGTCTATTTTGGTCCAATCCATTTTTTCACTAAGGCCAAGTTTGGGATACTTATACTCCGTTTGGGAAGTGGGTTGGCTTTTTGGTTTTTTGGCTTTTTTGGCTATTTTAGCCTGGGCTAAAAAGCTTGGTTTGGGAAGGACTTTTTGGCTTTTTGGCTTTTTTGACTTTTTTTGTGAGAGAAGAATGTAATGATTATAGGTTGGATGTGATGTTTTGTTTGTTATGGCTAAAATAGCCTATTTTGTTTTTTGTGGCTAAAATAGCCAAAAAAGCCTGAAAAAGCCCTTGCCAAACACAGGCTTAAAAAAAGTCAAAAAGTTACTTAAAAAGTTAAAAAGTTAACACTATTCACCAAAAGTCAACAATTACGGCTGCACAACTCCCAATCCTAATTTTTCTCTACAAACCAATTTTTACAATTTTTTATTATACATTTTTCCATAAAAAGTCAAAAAGTTAACCTAAACATCCATATTTTTTCCCTCAATTTTTTAGTCCAAAAAGACAAAAAGTGCACTTATTGAAGACACCCCAAACAACCTCTAATTGTAGTACGTAGTGTTCGTGGATTTAAGCAAAATTTTGAGAAAATTTGAGATCAACTTCTGCATGGTACTATCTGTATGTATATCATTTGAAAATAAAATTAAAGTTAGGAAAAATAAAAAATATAAATTAAGGTATGAATTAACTTATGTGCACTTGTCTATATTGCATAATCAAAATATAAGCATAAATTGCATAGAATTTGAACATAAATATCTAAAAATATATGTTTAAACATAGTATAAGGTTGTATACCATAGCTATTAAATCAACTAGGCAAATGTAAATGGATTTTTTTTTTTTTACTAATTGATAAATAAAAATATAAATGTAGAAAAAAGAAAACTGAAGAAATTATCAAAATTTAAAGTCGTCACACAATAATGTGAAAGTTCACACCAAACCGAGTTGTACTATTTGGCCTCGTTTGGGTTATTTTAGTGGATTTGGGGTGGCTGCAGTGTAGGGGTGCATAGCAGCCACTGTTATGTAGTCAAAGTCAAATGGGCCCATTTCGAAGCACATTTTGATAATTCAGACCGTTCACATTTTAAAATACATCAAGTAAAACATACCTGTAAAAAATCAAGTTAATCGGATATCGTTTACCCAATTATTATTTATTTTTGTAGATACAAATGTGAGTGGATAAAAGGGTAAATGATATCCGATTAACTTAGTTTTTTACAGATATGTTCTACTTGATGTATTCTAAAATGTGAACGGTCCGAATTATCGAAATGGGCCCATTTGGCTACACAATAATGGCTTATGTGCACTCATGCACAACAGCCACCCCAAATCCTATTTTTGTAGGCTAAAATATTTGTGCTTGGGAAAGGGATTGAATTTTTTTTGTAATTTGATGTGATATTTATGAGAGAAAAAGTGAAATAATTATGGATTTGATGTGACATTTTGTCTTATTGACTATTTTAACTTATTTTATCTTTTTGTAAATTTTAGTCAAAAAATCCAATTTTTGGCTTCCCAAAAAACCCCTTTATATATGAAGTTCTACATTATGTAGGTCTCATTCCTTGTAAGATATATTTATCTCATTTTGTGTTTGGTACTTTGTGTATTTAAACTTATTAGAATAATTTTATTTGCACAAAAAAATAATATTAAGTACGTCTAATTTT